AATTAAGAACTCTGAGTAATCTGCCTGAAAGTTCCAAAAGGGTAACCATATTTTCACTTAAATACATTCTTTCTCGTATCCTGGACATCACTACCGTGGAGCTATTAAAAAGCCCTTTTTGCATAAGTCTCTTAAAATCTGCTTCGTGCTATAGCAAACTTTAGTTTAATGTTATGCTTTTTCTTACTAATTTGTAAAAGCTTCTTTAGCACCTCTTTACTTTTGTTACCAACAGACTTCTGAAATTGTACGAACCATTGGTGGATTGCAAGAATTGTAGTTGCAGTGGATTGCGACACAGAAGAGTTGGCGAAATTATTTTCTGTACATATTTTTTGCAGTTAAGTTTCCCACTAGTAAATTAAATCGATCTATTAATTCGCGCCTTGTGTCCTATGTCATGAGATAGTGGTTACAGCGTAGGAGCTGTACAACCAGTCTACCAGCTGTACTGCAGGGGGTTTGACGCTCGGTGGAGTCAGTTTCGTAAAAAGAGGTGGTACTGCCGACAAGGCAATTTGCACAAGACAAGTAATACCGCAAACGGGGCTAAAAACCTAAAAAATGAGGCGTCCACTAAGCATATTTCCAATGGGCCAGAAATGACTAACTCCTTCCATCTTCAGATTTTTGAGGAGCTAGGCGGGTTAGTGCTTCTAGGATAACTCGTTGGGAATGAATAGCTTAGCGCGAAGGCTACGATCCTTGAAAATTTATGTCGGTGAAACATTTTATGGGTGCAGGACGCAATTGATCGGGTAAATATTAAAGAGCGGTAGCGTGATTCCGTCCTGTCCTCAATGACCATCATCGGAATCCGCGTATCATGCAAAAATAAAGTTATTTATTAGCATGTCCTTTCGTTTGAACCACGAAGCACGCCTATTTCCGGCGAGCATACTCAAAATTCTCAGTAGAAACAGACCTTAAAGGTAACTCCTTGCCTTGAACTTCTATTGATCTAGCTTACTTGCATAAACATTTTAATTGCTTCCTTCTGGTCCCCCAATGACTGGAAATATCCACCAAACATAATTTTGCGGTGATTCAATTTGACAAAAGAAGCGAATGCCATCGTACCATACGTGAAAGAGTTCGAAATCACCTTATATCTCCCCTTATTTACGAATCACTTAATATCTAACGGACACCTTCCGCATACATACCACAAAATCCACCTGCTACTCATGCATCTTCAAAAAATGCTGATTTCTAACGTGTCCCGTTTGGATTCAAGTGACATATATATCTTCACTCACTTTCCATAGGTTTTACTGACTTTTAGTACTTTCAGTAAATTTCATTCTTGGGTTCGTAATCGGTCCAACTTACTGTCCCATGTATAATCGATGCGCACTTCATATAAATAAAGAAATAAGTTTTATATTTTAGGCCCGGAGGGCCTCGTCATTGCTTGGTTGATTAATTTTTTAACGGAACGGACAGTTCTGAGATGTTTTTTTTTCTTTGCAACATTCGCTTCCATATCGAATTTTGTTCAGCCATTTC